CGCATAAGGAGTTCGGGTGTCTCCTTGGTGTCTCTCTTTCTGCTGAAGGTCCCCACATTCACCAGCACGCTACCAGACGTAAACTGCTGCTGCTGCTGCTGCTGCTGCTGCTGCTGCTGCTGCTGCTGCTAGTGCTAGTGCTGCTGCAGCTAGTGGTAGTGCTGCTGCAGCCAGTGGTAGTGCTGCTGCTGCTGCTGCTGCTGCTTCTAGTGCTGCTGCAGCTAGTGGTAGTGCTGATGCTGCTAGTGTAGTGCTGCTGCTGCTGCTGTTTATGCTGCTAGTGCTGCTGCTGCTGCTCCCATTTCTGGTTCTCCTGCTGCTGCTAATGCTGCTCTTGCAGTTACTGCTGCTGCTGATCTTGATCCTGCTGCTGCTGCTGCTGCTGCTCCCATTGCTGCTGCTGTTGCTGCTGCTGCTCCTGTATCTGCTGTAGCAGCTGTTGCACTTGCTGTTGCTGCTGCTGCTGCTGCAGCTGCTGCTGTTGCTGCTGCTTGAATTGTCAGCTGCGTTTGTTTGTGTTGTGCTGCTGTGTCTCTGCTGCAGCTGGCTGTGCATACACTGCGTGTGGTTGTTGCTGCTGCTGCACGAGTCTCCTTTCTGTCTTTGTCTCTCCCGCTGCTGCTGCGGCTGCTGCCCCCCTGGCTAGCGAAGGAGAGGCTCGTTGGTGCTGCAGCAGCAGCAGAAGAGCAGCTGGAGACAACTGTCTCCGAACTGCAGCACATGCAACGCAGCAGCATGATGCAGCTAGAAGGAATATCTGCTGCTGCTGCTGCTTCTGCTGCTGCTGCTGCTGCTGCTGCTCCAGGGACACATGCTAGAGACACACACACCGCCCTGCTGCTGCAGCTCTTCAGCTGCTGCTGCGATTGCTGGCTGCAGCAAATCCACGACCTTACGGTGAGCTGCTGCTGCTGCTGCTGCTGCATGCTGCTCCTGCTGCTGCTGCTGCTGCTGCTGCTGCTGCTGCTGCAGTTTTTCTGATATGAGGGAGACATTTTATACGCTGCTGCTGCTGCTGCTGCTGCTGCTGTTGCTGCTGCTGCAGGACGGACGAGGGGGGCGGAGTGTCTTTGCGGCGGGTGCGAAGAAAGACAGCAGCGGCAA